CTGGGTGAACGGGCGCGCGCGGCCTGCAGCCCGCAGGCGGTAGAGGATAGGAAGAAACCAAATCAGCTGCCTATCCAAGAGCCCGTCGCCGCCGCCGGGCTTCGGCAACAACAGCCCCTCCAGCTCCATGACCTCCCGCGGCCATGCTCCGCGCGCCTCCACCTTCGCGAAAAGCTGCGCGATCCACTCGTGCAGGAACTGTGGCAGCAGCTGGAGTTCGCTCGCCAGCCACGCGTCCGGCCATGTTTTTCTGCGTTCCGGCATGGCCTGCAGCGGCGAAGTCACCAACTCTGCGGCCCAGGGCACAACAGGGAATGGCGGCAAGCCGTCCAATTCCTTCGCCCATGCCTCTGGCACGGGGGCCGCCACGGGCTGCTGCCAGAGCTCGCGCCAAAGGCCCTCGAAGTATCGGAGCTTCGCGGCTGAGCCACCCCGCAGCGCCAGCAGCCACAGCCTGTGGCCAGCCGATGGCCTGGCGGCGGCCGCGGCCGCAGCAACGCCACCCTCCAGCGGCGGCGCAGGTGCTGGCTCAGCTTCCACGTTGTCGCCGCCGCGAATCCAGCGCAAGAGCCGCCCCGGGCCCCTGGCAATCAGCTAGGGCATCGTGCGTCCACCTGCGCCACTCCCCCCGTCGCCGGAATCTGGCGGCTGACTGTGCGTTCTTCCAGTCGGTCTCGGCCCGCTGCAACAGGACATCCGGGACCGTTGTGGACACCGACAGGCTCGCGACCTCGGACTCCCAGCCCGCGTGGCCCGCGTCGGAGGCGCGCAGCGCTTGCAACGTGGCCTCGGCAACCCGTCCAGCGGCAGTAGTGCTGCCGCTCTGCGCGTGCCGGAGGCTTCGCAGGCGCCTGAGCCGCAGCAGCGACGCGTCAGCAACAGCGTCGGCAGCCTCACCGCCGCCGCCTCGCGCGCCAGGCCGCTCTGCTTTCCAGGTCGCTGCAGCGCGCGGCCGCTCCGCAGCCGTCGCCCTGCCCAGCCTGGCCGACAGCCACGAGCGCCTCGCGAGGCTGAGCTCTCCCCAGGCGGCGTCAAGGTCGCGCCGGCGCAGCGCGCTCTAGTAGGGTTCCTCATGGTTGGCCCTGATGGCCTCCACGGCATCTCTTCTCACTGCCGGCGTCCAGCCATCCGCAACAGAGCCGTCGAGCCGAACCAAGGGCTCGCGAATCATAGCCATCTCCGCCGCCTCCATCTTCAGGGCCAACATCAGGGCCGCAGGCGTGGCGAGCCCCAGGTCCCAGCGAAGGCCCGCGGCCCGAACGATGCCCAGCGCCTCGGGGCTGGCCAGGACATGATCGATCCGCGACGGCGAGCCCTGAGATGGAAGGCGTGCCGGCCCAGCTGCCGCCAGCAGGTCGCGCCACCCAACCATCGCCAGCAGCCCGTCCAGGCCCGAGACGGAGAGCCGACACTTGAGGTCGCCCACGAGGAACGCTGGAACGTTCCCCAAACCTCTAAGCCACTCCACGCCCTCCAGGACGAGGTCTGCGTTCCGCTCGGCGACAGCGGGGCCCCCCGCATAGCCATAACAGTTTATAGAATGAACCGCCCGGCCACTCCCCAAGTGCATCGCCACGTGCTGCAGACGGCCGGGATGCCGCCCCGAAAGCCCTAGGGGTGGGTCCGCGCGCACGGCGCCGCACCCAGGGCGATGGGCAACCGCCAGCTGATGCTCCCTGGCACTGACTGGCCCGGGATGCAGCTGCATGCCGCGCGCCCTGGCCGCGGCCAGGGCAGCGTCCGCCTCCGCCTCGGGGATCCGCGCCTCCTGGAGGCACCGCGCGTCGGCGCCAGCTGCGAGCAGGCCCCGCCAACTCGCGCTCCAGCGTGTGACATTGGCGACGAGCACCGCGACCTCGCCAGGCGCAGGTGCGGCAGCGGGCCCTAGGGGTGCGAGGCCTCTCCCACGCGGACGCCGCGCCGCGGCCGTCCGCTCCAGCGCTCGGCCGGCGCGAGCCGCCCGTCACAGCGCGCGCGGGCCGGGCGCATACGTTTCCCGAGCTGCGTCCAGCCGCGGCGACGGGGACCAAGAAAACGGAACCCCCGGGCCAGGGTTCAGTCGGGCCTGTCCCCCTACAGGGGGATTCTCGACAATAAAAAATATCAGACAAATAATCCAACAATGATCCGAAAATAGTCTGGGGACTCTCTCTTTCTCTCTCTCTCTCTCTCTCTCTCTCTCTCTCTCTCTCTCTCTATATATATGTATATGTGTATATATATATAATATATATATATATATTATATATATATATATATATATATATGTGTATATGTGTATATATATATAGATGTTTGACCTTTTGGGGGTATTTTGGGGGTATCCCTTATTTTTCGTCGAAAATCTCCCTGTGGGGGGACAGGCCCGACTTAACCCAGGGCCAGGGCAGGCCGTCTTCGGGGGCCCTCGTCGCCACCGCTGGCGAAACCACCTGCCGGTGCGGTCGGGGCGGGCCGCCTGGCCTGGGCGCCTGCCTCGGCAGCTGGTGCGAGCTGCCAGCCATCCGCCGGCGCAAACCGCGTGCCGCCTCCCACGCGCAGCCCGCCGCGCCCCGCTCGGCGCTCTGGGAGCGGCCCCGTCTGCTTGGGGACGGCGGCGTGGCGCAGGCGCGCGGGCGGCCCAGGCATTGCCTGAGCGTGGCCTGGCGCCTGGCCTCGGCGGCGTGGTGGGCGGCTGTCACCTCACGCCACCTGGGCGCAGATCCGCACTCTGCGGCGTCGCCGGGCTCGCTTCCTGTCGGCGCGGCGCCAGGCGCGGCAACAGCCCCGAAGCCTGGGACATCGGGCAGCACGGCGCCAGGAGCGACGGCGGCAGCAGCAGGGACGCCAGGACCGCCATGACCAACGGCGGCTTGCGGGGCGGCGGCAGGCGCTGAGGCGACGGGAGCGCCCACTGCGCCTGCAGGGGCCGCCCCGCCGCCGCCTCCTGGCTGCTGCACGAGCGCGCCCTGGAGCTGCTGCAGCAGGCCGGCCACGACGGCCTGCACGCCGGGGGCGGCGGCGCCAGCAAGCGTCGCGAAGGCTGCGTCGAGCCCTCCAGCGAGGGTGCCGGGGCCTGGCGCCGGCCCTGCGGCGCCGCTGGCGACCGCTCGGCCTGCACGGCCGCCAACGTCCGCTGCGCGGCGGCCTCCTCGGCTGCCGCACGCTCCGCCTCTTCCTGCTTGGCCGCGGCCGCCTGCGCCGCGCGCACGGCCGCCTCCTGAGCGTCGACGGCAGCCTGCCGCGCCTGCGCGGCAGTTGCCGACTGCAGCCGACGCTCGAGAGGCCGGGCTGCGCGCTCGGCCACCACAGCGCCGCCTCCTCCGCCTCCCACTGCGCCACCTGAGCGGTAAGCTCGGGGAAACCCTGGTTCGCCGCCAGTCGGGCGCGCACAGCTGCCAGGCGCTCCCTCGTGGAATCGGCGGCCCCCGCCGCCACCGCCGCATCGCCTACAGCCGCAGGCGCCGCCTCCGCGGCTGGACGAGCCGCGTCGCCTTGGTGCCCCGTCGCCTGCGGAGCCCAAAGCGCCCTCGTGGCGGGCCCAGGCGCCCGGCCCCACTCGCACGGAGGGCGCGTCCGCCGAGCGGGGGGCGCGGCAGCCGCATCCCCGGCATGCCGTGCGGCACGCCCAATTGTCGGCCACCCCGCATGGGCAGCCCCACATCGGCTGGGGGGGGCCCGCCAGCCGCTCGGCAGGAGGGCCACCATCCCGGGCCCCAGCACCACCTCGCGACTGCTGACGCCGCGGCTCCTGCTGCCGCCGCTGCCGCCTGCCCGATCCATCCCCAGCAGCCGGCCCCGCCGCCCCCGCGCCGAGCAGCGCCGCCAGCGTCTCCTGGTCGGAGCGGCATGGCCCCGCGCCAGGGGCCTGCTGCCCACGCCCGTGGCGGGGCGGCATCTGGTGGCTGTGGTGCTGCTGCAGAAGGCCGGCCGCCTCGCCAAGCCGCACCAGCACGCGCGCCTGCCCGCGCGCCCGCCGCTGCCGCCGGTGCCTCGCCGGGCTGCTGGTGCGCGGCCCACGTCCCTCTATTGCAGCGGACGCGCCCCCGCGCACGGGGCCGCAGGAACACAGAAAGGCTGCGGGGCTGGAGAGCAGCAGCGCTGGACGACGGAGTGCTGGGAGACCAGGGAAGGGATGGGAACACTGGAAAGGTGGACGGCGGGCCGCACGGTCCTGGGTGGGTTGGGCTATCGGGCCCCATGTTAGTGATCAGTAGACGATTGGGGGTCGATGCATCCCCTCTGGCCCCATCCCGCCCTCAACGTCGCCCTCTAGCTTTCCGGTCATAACTCGGCTCTCCGGCGGCAGTTCGGGACGATCTGGGCACCCCTGGAACGCTGTCGGCCACGCACAGCTGCTGGAAAGCATCACGAGGCTGGAGAACCGCCACGAAGCGACGAACACGATCGAAAATCCCGAGCCTCAAACTCCTGAGATCAGGGGTCAAACATCCAACCCTGTACCTCTCCTGGCGCACGTTCTGGCCAGGATCTCGAGGCGGACCCTGCCGCGGCCACGAGGGCGCCCCAGGTCGATCAACAACCGCCAGAAAGCACCGTTCGAACCTCTGTGCCTATCCCCCTTAAGCACTCGCAGACGGGGCGCCAGGAAGTGACATGCGCATCGGGAGACCCCAACAGGAGGGAAAATAAGGCTCTGCTATCGGCTCCTGGCCGCCGTCGCGTTGCTTCAGGCCACGCTGCAGTGCAGAGTGGAGGCGGAGCAGGAAGCGGACAACGAGGGGACGAGACGACGGAGAGGGACGCGCGCCCCTGAATCTATCTCCCCCCCCGAACGTTGCCCCCTGACCTTAGGTCGGGCATGTCCTCCTACGGGCGAATCTTGGAAGAACACATAGAAATAGTAAAACGTGTATCACACCTGATCAAAAGTAGTCGAAGCATCGCCCGCAGACTATTTTTGTTTTACCATCCTGGAGTGCTCTTCCTGTTGAGGCGCACGCCCGACTTGACCCTGACCCCGCCCCCGCCCCGCCCCTTCCCCCCGAGCAGCCGGGCGCCTATGCCCACGCCCCTCGTCATCCAGGCCGGCCTGCCGTCCCGCTGTGCCCCCCGCAGTCGCGCCAGCGGCTCCCGCGGGGGCTCCTGCGGCGGGGTCGGCGGGAGGGGGCGGGGGGAAGGAGGAGGAGGAGGAGGAGGAGGAGGAGGTGGAGGAGGAGGAGGAGGAGGAGGAGGAGGAGGAGGAGGAGGAGGAGGAGGAGGAGGTGGAGGAGGTGGGGAGGAGGAGGAGGAGGAGGGAGGAGGGGTTTAAGGGGAGGAGGAGGAGGAAGAGGAGGAGGAGGAGGAGGAGGAAGATGAGGAGGAGGACCAGTGTAAACCCAAGAGTCATCAACGATGTTGGAATAAACCCTCCCTCCAAACTCCCTTTTCATAGGCCCCTGTAACGGTTTATTCGAAAACCCTGAAGCATGCCAAAACATTGTTCTCGGGATTCTAACGCCACGGATCAACCTGACCGTTGCGTCTTGAAGATTTTGAATCGTGCCAAAGCGCCATACCTGGGACTTCGGCTGGCGAGATCTTTTCTTCGGATGCTTGCCTTGAGCCATACCAGCAATGACATGATCTCTGTCAGTAAACCTGCTGGGGGTCTCTGGATTCCTGCAGCCCCTTCGTGCCGCCTAGCTCTTCAGCCAGGCACGATACTCGAATCCTGAAAAGCTCCGAAACTCATTGTCAGTGCACAGCGCTCTGGACCACGGCGTTGGTCGAGCACTGCAATCAAAGTACACGCAATAGCCGCGCTGACGGCCGTAGCCCGTCCAAGGCAATGACAGCGCGGAGCGAAAGACTGCAGGCCGAAATGGCCAGGCCAAAATGGCCGCTCGTGCCCCTCAGTTCAGACCTTCGCCTGAAGGGCACTCGAGAGGGGCGCGTCCGAGAGCTTGACACTCATCATCTCCAGCCCTCGGAGCATCGCCGCCTGGTCGAGGAACTTCGTCCCCAGGTCCGCCGGGTTCGACTTCCCGGGAACCTTAGCCAGTTGAAACCGTCCGTCCTTGAGTGCCTTCTGCACCCACAGGGTCGGCGTCTCGAGGTGTCGGACTTTGCCGCAGCCTCGTCGCTGCATGATGCCAAGAGCAGCTGCTGAGTCGCTCCAGATGCGAAGGCTCACGTCCCTGCCTAGGCCCTGGCACAGTGACTGCATGCCGATGGCCCTGCTGACCGCCCGCACACAGCCGTAGAACTCAGCCTCCCCCGAACTCATGGAGATGGGGATCTGAGTCGTCGATGCCGTAACGATCAGGTGCTGCCCATGTTTGATCACGACCGAACTGGTGCTCCTCCGCGTGATCGGGCAGCCTGCCCAATCGGTGTCCGAATAGATGTCCATCACTGCGGGTGCCCGCTGTCGGCCCCACTTCCAGATGGCCCGCGGCGCCCCGATCAAGAAGCGTCCAGCGCGCTTCAGAAGGCGGAGGTGTCGCTCTGTCGGCCTCTGCATGCCGCGAGCGCACTCCTTGGCCGTGAACTGCACCTCTGGCCGACCGAGCGCCAAGTAGCCCATCCTCATGCACGCACTGCGGTACTCTGCCGCCTCGTGCTCGTTCAGCTCGCGCTCGACCTCAGGTGTAAGCTTCTGGCTCAGCCCTGGCGTGCTCAATGACTTCGTGGTGCGGGGGTCCATTCCAAGCTGCGCGTGCAAGATCTGCGCGCGCCTGGGATCCGCCTCGCGCTCGATGGCCTCGCCCCCTTGGCACCATGGGTCTCGCCAGCGCATTGCCCTGTCGAGGCGCGTGATCTCCTTTGCGTCGGTAGGCGCCGGCCCGAGCACGCCCCTGTCCTTCACGATGAACTTCGTCTTCAGGGCCTCGCAGATCGACTCCGTCCCGCCCCGAGAGCCCTCGAGCACGAAGTCGTCGCCGTGGTGGAAGAAGCTCACCTGGAGGTCCTTGTGGCAGTACACGTAAGGCGAGAAGGCCGACTGGTCGCAGCCAGCACCGATGACCGTCTCGGCAGTCGTGAGCTCGAAGTTCTGGCCAGCGTCGCGCGTCCCGTAGAGCGCCATCCGCAAGAGCCCACGCGTACCGATCTCCTGCGACATCGGATCCTCCTCTGGAAGCTTGATGTAGACCGTCCTCTTGATCTCACAGTGCGGGTGTGCCCGCGAGATGTCCAGGAAGCGCAGCACGCGGCCCTCGGACGGGTCGCTCGACATCACCATGCTGCAGATGAGCCGAAGGCACTCTAGCGGCGGGGTCGCCGCAAACACCGCGCCGATGTCGTCCCCGGCGATGGTGCTCTGCGCCTTGGTCTCCTGCGCGACGAGCCTGGATCTGTAATCCGGCCGGTCGGTGTCGCCCTTGTCGATATCAACCCAGCGCCCACTGAGAGGCCTCCGTCCAAGCTCGCGCTGACAGTCCTCCTCCCTCGCGTAGACCCACACGCCAAGCTGCGCCATGAAATCCATCTCCAGGCGCCTCGCGGCCTTCACCCGCGTGGGGTCCAGCGGGAGGCCGGTGAGGTCGTCGTAGAACTCGGTCCTCAGCGTGTCGCGCCACTTCCCGACGAAGTCCTTCAGGCTGATCTCCTCATCGTCCACGTTCGGCCCAGCATCCAGGGCCGAAAGCGTGAGCACCTTCTCGTTGCTAAGGTGACGGCGGAGGCCACGGAGGACGGCGCGGAGGAGCTTGACCGGGTACCTCTCCGCCACACGCATGTTGCGGCCAACGAAGGTGGAATGCTCGTGGCGGCTGCCAATGCCAGTATCATTGGGGCAGCGCTTGCAGACCTCGTCCAACACCTCCTTGTTATTACTCATCCACCCTGTCGGCTTCTTGGCGAGCCTGTCGCCGTGCGCGTCCGCAACCACCAGGCCGAACGCGCACTGGTCGCCTCGCCCGACCTCGACACCCGGGAGAGCCATCACATCCTTCACGATGTCCAGGTCCCAGCTGTCCGCGCTCCAGGGGTGCTCGTGCAAGAACGTGCGGTCGTGCTTCACCTGCAGCGTGTAGAGCTCCATCACGAACCTCAAGTGCTCGTACCCGATGGCGTAGGCCTCACGCTGCCTCTCCGTGTCCTCATTCAGGTACTTCAGCATGGAGAACGGCGCGCAGCGAGGACTGCCCAAGAGGAAATACACCTCGAAGTGCTCGATCAGCTCCCGGCACTGTCGTTGCTGCTGGCGGTCGGTCAGGTCCCAGCCAACCCTCAGGTCGAACGAGCCGCCGTGAACCATACCGAAGAGGGGGGCAAAGCCCACAAGCCCATTCGGGCAGAAGACCTCCATCACGTCGGCCTTGCGCCCGCTGTAGCCGAGAGAGAGCAGGAGGGCACCGATCTCCTCCTGCATGTTGTCGTCGCCCAGGTCGTGTGGTGCCGGAGCCATCGCCGCGTCAGCCGCCGCCGCGGCCTCGGGCGCTGGCGGCACCTGCTGAGCTGGGGCTGGACCGCCGCTGCCTGACGAGCCACCCTCTTGATAGACAGGCCCGGCGACGTCAGTGCGATGCCGCTTCCGCTCACGGGCGGCATCCTCGAGCCTCTGCTTTGCCTCCTCGTCGTCCTGCATCGCCTGCTCGATCCGAGCGCGGCGCTCGGCTGAGTGAGCCTGCGCCCGGGCGCCGTTGAGGATCGCGGCGCAGCCGTAGCAGCCCGGGGAGAGCCCGTACTTCGCGATCTCGACGTCCTTCCTGATGTAGACGGCCCGCGGTCCTGCCGGTGGTCGCCCGACTCGGAGAGCCCGGGGCGGGAGGTCCCCAGCCTCGGGGATGGGCGCCAGAGGTCCGCCCACAGGCGCGACCGGCGCTGGCACCGGCGCTCGGATCTCGATGGCCACCGGCACCTCGTCCACCTCCACGTCCGTCGGCACCGGCGCCCACGGCTTCCCCACGAGGCTGTTCAGCAGGTCCTTGTCGGCCCGCTGCTCGACCGTCAACCGCTTGAAGGCCCTGGCCCGTAGTGCGCCCAACTCCGTGCCAATGTAGACCTCGTCCGTCCGAAGCGTGGGCCCCAGGTAGAGCCCAGCGAGGAACTTGTCCTCGATCCCAGCCTTGCGCTTGCCCCCTGGGAGATACAGGACCTTCTCCGAGAAGCAAGCCAGGTCCTTGTTGAAGGGGCGGCCGCGCCGAAGTTCCCAGGCCGCGCGGCCGCCAGCGCCCCGCCTGCCCAGGTTGATGGACATGGCTGCGAATTCGACCATCCACGGGGTCACTGGGTGCTCGACGCCAATGCTCGCGCCGTGGAGGTCGTCCACCTGCGCCCGCACCGTCCTCACCTTGGCCTGGCCTCGCGCACCGCGTGCTCGGCCAGGCCGTTGCCCTGGGAGTCGCCGACCGCGCTCTCCTCGGGCACCGTCTCGATGCCGCACTCCTCCTCGAGCTTGGCCCCGATGCGGGTCTTCAGGGCGACGAGCGGCGCCTCGCCGTCTGAGCGGAAGACGAAGCGCTTGTGGCCAGCCGAAGCCAGCTTCCTGGACCACGACTTTGCCGGCCAGGGATGCTGCGTCCCCTTAGCTGGCACCACCGACGCGTGGGACCAACGCTGCTTCGAATCTTTCCCGATCAGCAGCGGCGTAGCGTCCTCTCGTTCACCGAGGTAGCCGTAGTCGATGCCAACCACCGCGAGCGCTGACTCCTGGTGGTCCTTCGTCTGATGGCCTGCTGACAGGCCTCTGCCGGAGACGCACTCCCGGCACCATGCCCTGTAGGGCTCGTGCAGCACCTCGTGCGCGGCTCGCTCGGCCGTCGGCGCTGCGGGCTCCCTCGCCGGCCGTGCCGGCGGGCCCTCGGCGACCTCCTCGTGAGCCGCGCCTGGCTGGCCGGCTTCACCCTCGGGAGGCTCGTGGCCTGCCACCTCGACCGGGCAGACCTCCGGCACGTACGGGTCGACGTGCATATCCATCTCGTAGACCTTATTCCTGCGGCAGAACCTGACAACGTCTCCGCTGGTCTTGTGGTACGCGTAGCTAATGTCCTGCCCGCCCTCCGAGTCGAAGACGAGCCGATGGCCAGAGTCGACCATCTCCGCGACGCTCAGCAACGGCTTGCTGATGTCCGCCACCCTGAACTTGGCAGCGCGTGCCTGAGAAGCCCCAGGCATCGTCCCCACGAGGATCTTCTCGCCCTCGTCGTTCACGTAGTGGCCAGAGGCGGTCTTGTACGAGATCGCCTGGCCGCCCTCGTGCACCGGGTAGTCCGTGCACGAGCCGCGTGGCAGCACCGATGCCGCCGCGCACGAGTCGATGCCCACACGTAAGATGCCTTGAGCTCGACCTCCTCCGCATCCGAGTTGCCGTGGATCATGTTCAGGTCCAGGGCCGCGCGGGTCGCAGAGTAGTCGACCACGTCCGCCTTGTCCGGCCCCGGGTCGTAGATGCTGAGGGAGTGGAGGTTCCCGAACGGGTAGCTGACCTGCTCGTCCGCGTCGTTCAGGTAGAGTGCTGCGACCTGTCGAGAGCTCGTGCCGGACATCGCCGTCGCCGGACTCAGCCTCGTAGTCGCAGCCGTCGAGATAGAGCTGGCCGCCGATGGTGCGGTCGTACTCGTCGACTGGGAGGCGTTGATGCGAGCCAGCGTCTGCTCCATGCTCGCCAACGTCCCCCTGTGCTTGCTCGGGCATTCACGCTGAGTGTGGCCGCGACCGCCGCAGCCCCAGCAGAGTGGCCCGAGCTGCTGACCATGTGACTTGCTGCTGGTCTTGCTCTTGCCGTCGGACTTGGACTTGCCCTTGCTGTCGCCCTTGCTCTTGCCCTTGCCACTGGACTTGCTCTTGCCCTTGCCGTCGTCCCTGAACCTGCCCTCGCCGTCACCCTTGGTGAACGCGCTCAGGTCCATGGGCACGGGCACCGGGGCGATGGCGCTCTGGGCACGGCGGATGTCGGTGACCTCACGTCGGAAGTCCTGCCACTCCACCAGCCTGGTCGCATTGAGCAAGAGGCGCTGGCGTAGAGGGCCTTCCTCGAGCTGCCGAAGGACGATGCCGATCCTCATGGAGGCTGTGATGGCCTCGCCGTTCCTCTGCTCCTACCTGAGGAGCTCTCGCTGGAACAGCGCCAGCCGGTCCTCGACATCGCCAGTGAACGAGAAGTTCAGGAGATTCAGCAGCTGCCCCGCGATGCGGGACCTCGCATTCGGTTCGTAGTATTCAACCAGCTTGCGCCAAGCCTGGAAGCCTTCTCGCCAGCATTCACGATCGTCGTCAGGGGATGCTGCCGGCAGAGGAGGAGCAAGATGTAATACAGCTGCTGCGAGGCCTGCCTCATGTTCTCCTCGAGGAAGTCATCGTTCTGAACTGAGGCCTCGTCAGCACTTTCTGCCAGTCGCATCCCTGCCAGCAAGTCGGCGTTCACGACGCCACAGTACGCCTTGAAGATCACCTTCCAATCGTTCCACTTGTGCTCTTCGCCCGTGAACACGTCTGGCTTGCCCAGCGTGCGGGTGTCCACGAGCGACTCGGCTCGAGGCTGCGGCACAGGCCCGTCCACCCGTGGTCTAGCCTCGGCCACACGGCCGAGCCGCTGCACCTCGGCCGTGAGATCGTTCTCCCTTTGCTGGCGGTTCTGCAGCTCCTGGGCCAGCGCTATCATCTGCTGCTCTAGAGCCTGCGCGCGCTCCTCCGCCATCTCAGCGGCGGTTCGCGCGCAGCTTCGTGAAATCCTTCAGGTGCTGGCCCAGCGCTGCCCAGGTCCTCCTCAGCCTGAACAGCTTGCGTAGCTGCCTCGCCACTCTCCTCCAGCCTCGATGGACCTCGACGAACTCCCACTCGCCGCCCTCGCTGGAGCTGGGCCCGGCAGGCCCTGCTGCGGCTCCCGCACCGGCGGCCGGCCCCAGGCTGCTGGGGCTCCCCGCGCCGCTGGCGGGAGAGGGAGCCGCGGAACCCGACCCAGTGGACTGGGAGGGTCGGGACCACGGCTCCGCTACCATGGCGAGATCTTTTCTTCGGATGCTTGCCTTGAGCCATACCAGCAATGGCATGATCTCTGTCAGTAAACCTGCTGGGGGTCTCTGGATTCCTGCATCGGCACCGCGAAGCAACGTAACCGTTGCACCCTCATAGTCATGAACCTTTCCACAACACCATTCCTGGTACGCTGATCATGGGATTCCAAGGAACTCTTGCGAATGTTAGAAACGAATGTGCGCGGCGCTGAAGCGAAAACCACATTTTGAAAATGGAACCGCCCTCAATCCGGAAGGCTCTTGCACATTAAGACACGAATATGCGCGGAGCTGAAGCGAGAACCACATTTTGAAAAACCCGCCCTCAATCCGTGGAGCCCTTGCAGATTTTAAAGCGAATGAGCGGGGCGCTAACGCGAGAACCACATGTTGAAAACCACCCGCCCTCAATCCGTGGAGCCCGTGCAAACGTTTGGAAGGAATGTGCGCGGCGCTAACGTGAGAACCACATTTGGAAAAGGAAGCGCCCTCAATCCGTGAAACTCTTGCAAACGCTTGGAGCGAAGGTGCGAGGCGCTGAGACGAGAACCACATTCTGAAAACCACCCAGCCTCAATCTGTGAAACCATTGCAATTTGTTTAACCGCATGTGCGCGGCGCTGAAGCGAGAACCACATTTTGAAAATCACCCGCCCTCAATCCGTGAAGCTCTTACAAAGTTCGAAAACGAATGTGCGTGGCACTGAGGCGAGAACCACATGTTTAAAACCATCTGCCCTCAATCCGTGAGACTCTTGCAATTGTTTAAACGGATGTGCGCGGCGCTAAAACGAGAGCCACACTTTGTAAACCACCAGCCCTCCATCTGTGAAACAGTTACCAATGTTGAAGCATCAAGGTCATACGTGGTGAGGAAGACTCAAAAACAAACAAAACAAAACAATAAAACAAACATCCGGCCCTTCGTCCCAAACAAAAAACTGGCCTCGGAGTGTGACAAGGGGAGGAGGAGGTGGAGGAGGAGGAGGATGCGGAGGAAGTGGAGGAGGAGGCGGAGGAAGAGGGGGACGAGGAGGAGGAGGAGGAGGAGGAGGAGGAGAAGGCTTGCCCATGCCGTGAAAGAAGACACAACTCGCTCCAAATGCTCGGCCTCCAGGGGGGCCCTTGCCGTGCCCCGGGAGCGTCGGGAAAAAATGAACAAGACGGGGGAAAAACGCTACCCGGGGGGCCCTTGCCGTGACCCGGGAGCGTCGGGAAAAAAATAACAAGGCGGGGGAAAAAACGCGCCCTGGGGAAAGGGGCAGGCCTTCTGGGCACCCCCATACTGCACAGAGGCCACGACCGCTCACGTCTGGGCCACCATCGAGGATCGAAGGCCGAGGCTCGGGTCTGCTTGGGGCGGCCGCCCATCCTTCCTCCGCGGGTTGACTGTACGAAGCGTTCGCTTTGAGCATCTCCTCTCTTCCTCAACCGAGTATCCGTTTTGAGCATCTTTTCTCTTCCTCAACCGAGCGCGGGTTGACTGTACGAAGCATTCGTTTTGAGCATCTCCTCTCTTCCTCAACAAAACGGCCGTGGGGGCCAGTCGGGACCCGGAATTCGCGAACAGATGGTGCCGAACCGTGGGCGCGCCGCTGCGAGCACCCGAAGAAGAACTTTGTTCCTCTTCTCCCGAACACATGCACGCCTAGGCGTGAATAGGACGGGGCCCCAGGAAATCGATTGAGGTGGGGGACGGGGCCAAACCCGCCTGCTCGAAAACCGGTCCCCAGGCCCCACCCGGGGTCCACCTGGTGCATGCTTTCCCTCCGGATCCGTTTTTGACGGTCCCGGGGCCCAGAGGCCGAGAAAGGGGGAAACAACAAACAAATTGTCGAACAAACTCCCGAGCCCAGAACCTTGGACCTCGCCCCCCCCCTTCCCAGGAGCAAGGGAAAGCGACACCAACACCACGAGGGACCACCAGCGCGAGAAGACAGGGGTGGTCCCCCTGGTGGTGTGGTCCCCCCTCACTCGCTCGAGACCTCCCCTAGCCCCAGTTCGGGGAGGCATCGTGGGCCTCCTCGCTGGAGGGGGCCCTCTGGAGGTGTTGGTGTTGCTTCTCCTTCCCCCTCCCCTTCCTGCTGGCTGGCACCAAGGCTGGGCCACCTCAGACCCCCAGCTGGCTCCCACTTCCATGCCTGGGCGCGGCCCCCGAGGCCATGGGGGGGGATTTAGACTTCCAGGGCGCGCCTGCTGTGGCAGGCCGGCTCCTTCACCAGGCTAGGTCTTTAGAACCCCGCCCCAACAGAGGGTTACAAATTATTTGATCGGCGGCCTTATGGAAGGACTGGGCTCCCACCAATATGGGGTAACTAATTATTTGTTTTGTCCCCCGGAGGCCGAATAGGAGAAGTAGGAGGAGGAGGAGGAGAAGGAGAAGGGAGGAGGGAGAAGAGGCATGAGGAGGAGGAGGAGGAGGAGGAGGAGGAGGAGGAGGAGGGGGAGGAGGAGGAGGAGGAGGAGGAGGAGGAGGAGGAGGAGGAGGAGGAGGAGGACGAGGAGGAGGGAGGAGGAGGAGGGGAGGAGGAGGAGGAGGAGCAGGAGGAGGGAGGAGGAGGAGGAGGGAGGAGGAGGAGGAGGAGGAGGGAGGAGGACGAGGAGGAGGGAGGAGGAGGAGGAGGAGGGAGGAGGAGGAGGAGCAGGAGGAGGAGGGAGGAGGAGGAGGAGGAGGAGGAGGAGGAGGAGGAGGAGGAGGAGGAGGGGAGGAGGAGGAGGGAGGAGGAGGAGGAGGAGAGAGGAGGAGGAGGAGGAGGAGGAGGAGGAGGAGGAGGAGGAGGAGGAGGAGGAGGAGGAGGGAGGAGGAGGGCGGAGGGAGGAGGGAAGAGGAGGAGGAGGAGGACGAGGAGGGCTTAGGCCCAGTCCTACTCACCTTCGGAAGCAAAGGGGGAGGGGACCAAACTAAAGACCTTCAGCGGCCAACTGACGTGCCCACGGTGGGTAGAGGCGCTGGCACGGCGGGCGTATCCTCGGGCGCGGGGTTGGCGGCCACCGCCTCAGAGGCAGCCGGGGGGCGACGGAGAAAGGCTGAAGGAGGCACGGGGAAGGAGGAGGAAGGAGGAAGGAGAAAGGAGAAGAGGGAGGGAGGAAGGAGGAAGGAGGAAGGAGACGGACTGAGGAGGAAGGAGGAGGAAGGTGGAAGGAGGAGGAAGGAGAAGAGGGAGGAAGGAGGAAGGAGGAAGGAGGAATGACGAGGAGGAGGAATGAATAAGGAGAAGGAAGAACGAGGATAAAGGAGGAATGAGGAAGGAGATGAGGGAGGAAGGAGGACGGATGAGTAAGTGAGCAAGCGAGCGAGCCACCCATGCGGAGTATCCTTTGGGCCTATTATAAAACTATGCGGGCGCGGCCGTGGCCTTTCAGATACGTGTGTATAAATATACATGCGGATGTGCTACGATACAATAAAGACAATCGGAGGAAGGAGGGGGAGGAGAAGGAGGAGGAGGAGCTAGGGAAGGGGAGGAGGGCAATGAGGGAGGAGGAGGCAGGAGGAGGAGGAGCAGGAAGAGGAGGAGAAGGAGGAGGAGGAGGAGGAGGGAATAGGAGTATAATCCCAGGAAACACTTGAGAACCCCCCCCTCCACCCACCCCCCTCATCCGGTGAAAGTAACGCATCCGGCACCCTGGAAGCGTTACCTCGGCACCGGAGGAGCCAGCAGAGAGCACTCGGGGCCAAGCTAAGCCTTGCTGAGCCTTGCTAGCTCCCGCTAAGCCCTGCTAAGCGATGAAGCCAGGCTCGCCCCCTGCTGAGCCCTGCTGCGCCCTGCTAAGCCCATGCCAAGCCTTGCTAGCCGATGCACAGCGTATCCACAGGCATCCCCAAGGATTTCTTCTTGCGCGTCGCGCGGCGGGCGACGCGTCACGGAACTTATTTTTAGATTCGTGCGAGGTGCTAAAGATATCGCTCTGCGAAAACGGCACCCTGGCAATATTAAATCCCGGTGCGGTGCTACCGATAACCCCGGGGGGGTTCTTGAAGGCTTCCTCGGGTTAATGAGGGAAGAGGAGGCGAGCTGTATACATCGAGCACTTGTTTTGATTTACAATTTTCCCTCTGCGCTTGTTGCAGCCGCCGCCGTGCCAGTGGTCGTCGCCGCCCGCCTGGACTGGCTGCTTCGCCAGGCCCCGCTGCGATGCTCCAACTAAAATCTCGGCCAATGCAGCATTGGACCCCCGAAAATTTAAATTGAATTCTTGTTCTTGCACCAGCGGGCACAACTCCACCGAGTTCGTCTCATGTGCTGGCGATCATAGAAGAATGAACTTTTGGCGGTCCGCGAGGATTTCTTGGAACTGAGCCGGAGCCCCCTCCCTGGCGCGCAGAGCGCGCCATGGGGCGGCACAGGAGGCACCGCCGGGGGGCCCAGGCGCAAATGCGAGAAATCCGCGCGGAGCGCCAAAGATTCATGTTGATGCCGTTTTCTCTTCATCGAAATCTAGAGGCCTCCTCGATGGGGTCCGAGTAGATGGGGTCGAAGGATCGCGCCGCATCGCCAATGCATCACCAATGTATCGGCGATGTATCATCGATGCATCGGCGGCGTCGGCGATGCATCGGCGACGTCGGTGTGGGGAAACACGGGCTCCACATCGAGCCGCATCGTCGATGCATCGGCGATGCGGCGCGATCATACGGCCCCATCTACTCGGACACCATCTAGAAGGCCTAGAAAATTACGGGCATGATCGAGTCCACCAGAACGTGGTTGCTTCGCCTCCGCAATACGGATCGCGGTCCTCGCCACAGCCGTGGTTCTTCCGCGCGGTGCGGCTCTTGCTCGCCCTTCTCTCCCGCCGCGAGTGCTCGCGCGCCTGCCGACGCCGGCGGTGGTGAACTTCGTGGCGATGTTTTTTTTGTTTTTTTCCTTCGCAGCATGGGCGCCGCTTGCCGGATCTTATACTATTTGCTCCAAAACGAGCGTGGCTAGGAGTTTGAAATCGATGCGATGTCCCTGCATTTATCAACGATGCAGAAAACACTCATGTGGGCGACGATGAAAAAACGGTCTTACGCGAGGTGACGTAGCAGCCTTACGCGGTGACTTACGCGGGCCGCCCGCGCGGCACGCCAGATTTGAAGCGAGGACGTTTACGCGCGATCTTACGCGGGCAGCTTACGCGCCAATGTCGGCGAAGACGACCCCGTGTTTTGCGTCGCTCGTGTGGTGGTTCAGGGGAGCCCCTGCCCATACCACCAGTGCTCCAGTCTTCCACCTGCGTGCAGAGGGAGCTGAAGAAGCGGAGGAGGCCGGCTCGATCGGCTGTCATCTGCTGGACTGCGCGGCCGCTGCTCCTGAGGCTTCTGGAGCACGTGGCGTTGATTCCGGGCAGGGCGACGGCTGCCCTGCTGCTGGACCTGGTCCTGGCGATGGTGATGCAGCGCTCGCGGACCTGGCGGTCGGCAGCCAGGCATTGGACGTCGAGCACGAGGCTCGCGCAGGGCTCGGCAGATAGCTGAGGCTCGCCGGATAGCTGAGCAGAAGGCGGCGCGGCAGCGGTTGCCGCAGGCGGCCGACAGCCGCGACCCTGACGCCATGCAGGCGGTGACCGAAAGCCGCCAAATGGCTGGCGCTTTGCGTCGGGCACGCCTGCATGCCCTCCTACAGGCGGACTTCGGAAGAACAACGGTAAATCTCAACACATACTCAAACATGATCGAATCTAGTCGGGAAATCGTCCCTGTATTAACGGGCGAAGAACGGTATAAAATAAACTTTTTCGCCGTCGGGGACACCTGCCCCTGGGCGGCTGGAAAGTCTATACCCCTACGGTGGCACCGTAGGGGTACAAACTCTCCAGCCGCCCTGGGGCAGGTGTCCCCGACGGTGAAACAGTTTATTTTATACTATTCTTCGCCCGTTAACTATACTCCAGATTTCGTAATAAAAGGGAGGGGGTCTGGACCCTCCAAGACAAGCCATTTCAGACCCCCCCCCTGTGGGAGAACCCTCCGAAACATCGTCCCCAGACCCCCCAGGCCCTCCAAGATAGCCTGGAAGAGACCCCCCCCCGAAATGAGACCTCCCTCCCTTTATTAAGAAATCTGGAGTACTCTTGAACGTGCCTCCCGTGGAGGGACCTGCCCCAACGCAGGGCGGGCCTGCCCCCGCAGGAGCCGGCGGGCCACGGCAGCCCGCTGGAGCACGGCGGGGCCGCGCCGGCTCCCCGGGGGCGCGGCGGCGCGCCACGCCGAGGTGCCGACCAGGGCGCCCTCGGACGGGAGGCGTTCCGCTGCCGGGCACGACGACCGAAGGATTGCAAAAAAACGAAGGATTGCAACAAAAACGAAGGATTGCAAAAAAAACCGAAGGATTGCAAAAAAACCCAGGATTGCAAAAAAACATGTTGTTTTGCAATCCTTTTTTTTGCGATCCCGCGCCTGCTGGTGCAGCCGAACCCGCCTCAGACGGACCCGCCTCCTCATGAGGACGCGCGGAGAGATGGCGGAAACGAACCAACTCAACTCGGAGGTTCGCGCGGACTTCCCGGATCCGCGCTGGACCCCCCTCCCTGGCGCGCGGAGCGCGCCAGGGGGGGGCGTCGGAGGCGCCGCCAGGGAGGTCCAGCGCGGATCCGAGGAATCGGCGCGAACCTCAGAGGTTTTATGTTCATGTCATTATTCGCTTCCCTAGTAAGGATGCAAGGGCCTTGGAGGGCCACGATCACGTTTTTCGAACAAGGCCGGCCAGCGAAAAGTCGCTATAAGGATGGACCAAGGAGGCAAGGATGCAAGGGTACCCGTGGGAAGGTTGCCCCTCCTTACTTCGCGGGTCGACTGTATCGCGGTTGCACCCGCCCTGTCGGACTTGGCACGCCAGCTCCACGGGCTCAGTGAATGCTCTAACGTTGACGTCGAGCTGGGACAAGGCCCGCGACCGCGCGAGCGGCGTGCTTCTTCCACCGAGAGACTGGTGCTACGCGTTGGCTGCCGCCGCGTGGTGCAGGTCAGACGCTCTGACTGCAGCTGGACTCAGCTCGAATTCCAACTTTGGCACGTGAGCAGTGATATATTCTATCATTTGCTTGTTTTTTTTTTATCGGTCAGCCAGATCAAACTCGAACAGAAGACCATTCGATAGAAGGTTGATTCGTGCCTCACATTGCCCAGGTAGCTGCGCATATTGGACGGTTTCGGTTGCTGGTCGTGGCTCGAACTTCTGCTTGTCTGGCCCCTGCTCGGCCCTCGTGGGTCCTGGGCTTCAGGGACACCCTTAGCCCAAGCTCTCCCCCTGCGGGCTCTCCCTCTCCGCCTCTTCTTCCTTCCTCGTTTGCGTCCCCTCTCTTGCCGGGGGTGCGTGGGCTTCGGGGCTGCCCTCGCTGGGCGGCTCGTGGCTTCGGGGATCCTTGTCGCCGCCGTCTCCGTCCTGCTCACGGTCATCTCATGCTTTCGTCGGGCTTTCAACGTGTGCCCGCGAACGAACGAACGAACGAACGAACGAACGAACGAACGAACGAACGAACGAACGAACGAGGAGGAGCAGCGGAGGCGAAGGGGAAGGAAGAGGGAGGAGGATAATGATGAAGGGAGAGGGGGAGAAGGAGCAGGAGGAGGAGAAGGAGGAGGAGGATAATGGAGGAGGAGGAGGAGGAGGAGGAGGAGGAGGAGGATAATGGAGGAGGAGGAGGAGGAGGAGGAGGAGGAGGAGGAGGAGGAGGATAATGGGAGGAGGAGGATACTGGAGGAGAATGAGAATGAGAATGACTGAAGACTAAGTCTTAACTCCATGCTACACCGCTCTCTGACCACCTCCAGCGACACGAGGAGAAAGAAGAGGACGGCGACCATGCAATACTCCACGCGCTGCATGTAGGCTGCACCATACGGGCGGCAACCGACTTGGAGACCATACCGGAGTAGGGGAAATTCCCGCGTGCACCCCATTGACGACCTCATAACCACTTCGATAATACAACCTGTACGAGCGACTGCAGCCACGACCGATTGAAGCATATACCCCGCACACAAGAATGCCAGCAATCCACGAAGCCCAC